ATTGTGAGTCAGTTTTGGTCACAACATCAGAAATCAGAAATAATTAATCTTGAAAATTTTCAAAACAGAGCTACAAAAATATTAAACATTTATTTTATAAGAAAAGGTTTCAATTAATGAATTTAGAATAGCGAAGAAAAAAAAAGCAATCTGATTGAATCTGATTAAATACTCGGTTTTTTAATAATGGTTTTTGCATTGAAAGAGCTTCCTAATTCAAATTTAAAGGTTATATTTAAAAACAACAAACTGAACACGTGCAAAAGTGAATTATTGAAAAAAAAGCTCTGTAATTATATAGTAATAAATTTTGTGACAATTAGACGTATAATTACTGATGAACAAGAAGGAAATACGAGGAATTATTATAAAACCATAATATTACGGCATGGAGATTTAGAAACAACTTTAAAATTGCGTAATAATACGGCATAAAAGGTAAAAGAGTCACATCTAGTGTAAATCTTTTAAGGCTGATAAATTTTTGCTTAAAAATTAAAGGTAAAACAGTATAAAACTTAATAATATAAAATAAAAATTATACTTTGTTTATAATATAAAATATAAGTTATATTTTATATTATATTGCAGCCGTTGCACAGAGGTTACAGTTCTGGCTCAGAACCAAAAGGTTCGAGGTTCGAAGCCAATAAGCGATATTGATAAAGTGGGAGGCGTGAATTTCTTAAATACTCTTTTGTGGTGCCATGTGATTAGACCGTAAAGATTTCTGAGAATTGTTTAACCCTTAGATTTAACCAAAAAACAACTAACTATTGTCTTCTGGTGGTATTAATTACATTTTATTTTGATTTAAAAGTTCTTTTCATTTAATTTGGGGAATTTTTCGCCGGGTTTTATAGACGTTTGTGTGATTTTAGACTCACTCTGTATAGTGTAAAATATTGTAATAATTATTATTTATTTATTTTTTATCTAAGTTTTATTATTGTTTCTGTTGTTATTATTATTGTTATTACTATTGTTATTATAGTAACTAAATATCAGATAAGATTTATGTGCTGATATTTTTATATATATTCAACAGGCGAGTTCGTAACCAATAGCAAAATCTGGAAATATTTCTAGTCTCTGAATTCTTAGTTTATGACTGCAAAAATAATAACAGTCAAAATTTACTTATTATTATTTATTGTTTGTTTAAAAACATGTTAATTCAAATTTTATATAAAAAAAGTTAAAATAACATTAAAATCAACTAATGTTGTAACTAATTAAAAATTATACAAAATATATTTTTGCAGTGTACGAAACAATAAAATCTGATAGTTAAAATAACTTTTTTAATTAGTTATTTAAAATTTTAAATGCTTTAAATTAGGAAGAATTGAAATGTAATTATAAAAGTGACAAAAAGGTTTTTATGTTAGAGTATTTCAACTTTATTTAAAATAGTTGTTTAGATAAGCTTTTGTATGTTTTTAAACTTACTTATAAAGTCTTTAACTTTATATAACCAAGTTCTATTAGACTCAAATGTGATTTGCGGTTGTTTCATTTTTAATATTACATTGTACTGTAAGCTTTATTTCTCTAGTTTTATCTGAGTGTTTAATCGAATAAAATAAAGTTGTTAAAGTTTAAATCATAGTTTTAAATAAGAATAACAATAATAAATAACTCATAAAGAGATTTTTAACATAATTTCAAGATCAAAATATTATTTTATTGAATAACAACAATTGAGTTTTGTGATTAAAAGATAAAAAATTTACGGTTTTTAAAAACTAAAAATTGATATATTAGTAGATTTAATGATTTTTTTTTCTTTATTAATTTGTAAATAAAAACTAGAAGGTTATAGGTACTTATTTAATAAACATTCTGACATTTAAGGTCATTAAACAATGAATGAAGTTTTAATGAAGGTGATGGAAAAAAATGTACTTCTTTTTTTCATTCAATTGTCAGTTTGTTTGCTTTGAAATCATTCAGTCAATTTAATAGTTCTAAGTTAATCTTTTTAAATTGTGTTTTTGCATCACTGTGAAAATAAAATAAATTTATGTTACAAATTGTTACAAATTACAAATTCTGAGCATGAAATATTAAAATCCTTTTTGTTTAGTACGTTAATGCAACTCAAAAAAAGATTCTGATCCTTAAATGTTCGTTAGAAATCACGTGATAAAAAAAACGTGGTAATCCTATTTTCAGTTTACCCCCTCATATGAGAGTATTGCTATCTAATTGATAAATAGTTTTTAAACCAAGTTGTTTTTGTATTTTTGACTTTGTAGTTTTCTAATTTTGTTAACTAAAGAATAAGATGAGTTATTTCAATTGCTTCAATATAAAAAAAATGATGGATACTTATTTTTATCAAATGAAAAATATTTTGAGTGATGGGAGGCACAGCATATTTGAATTGGGAATATTTTAAACCCAAATTAAATTACTATATAGAATACTTTTTTTTTCTAAAAAAGAGTCTATAGTACATTATGCGCTCTAATATTTTAGAAAAATTTAATGTTTAGAAAATATTTATGCGCCCCAACATTTTGGAAAGAATCGAGATAATAAAAAGACTATTAGAGACAAAATAGCTTCCAAAATAATTGAGTTATTATTCAATTTTAAGATTTCTTTGAATGATTTTTTTACCAATTTGGCTTGGGACATAAAAAGATGTCTATCTAGGTGCACTGCCCATAGGGTTCTATTATTAATTTTGTCAAGCACTTGAAAATAATTATTAAATAATAAAACAAAAGCAAAAAAAATTGAATATGGCTCAATCTAGTTTAGACTTCGACTTTAAGAAGAACTGACAAATGTTAACAGAACTTAAAAAAGTATTTCATGTTTTGAAAAACTTGAAAACTTAAAAATTTGAAAAGCAGATAAATATAAAAATCTGTCGGTAGTTTGGTTATAATGAGTAAATGCTTTTTGTGTTCATCCGCTTTTATAAAAGCCTATTACTTTTGCTGACTTTATTTGGTCATAAAAAACGTTGTTTATAAAGAAAAGATTAAAATTTTGAATACAGGTTTTTTAATAATATCCAAACAGTTTTTACAACATCAGTGTCAATGTCATTCGGAACAGCGCTCTTTATTATATTTAGCAGGGTAAATATAAATTAAAATTCTAATTTTATTCAAAGATTTTTAAACATCTATAAATTTGAATGGCTCGCATTTTATTATAATAATCTCGATCTGTTGTGCGCAAGGCGATTTTGCGGAGGGAGGGGTGTGTGTGGGGGGGTAGTATAGTCGGTATTTTTACGAATTTCGTCGGCTATATGACACAATTCAGTCGATTAAATTTTTGTATATTTTTTTTTAAAAAAGCCAGTCGGTACTTTTTGAGAATTCATCTCCCCCCCCCACCCCCCAATTTATTCATAGAATCACCTCTGGTTGTGTGTCATTAGTTTTTTAATATTATTTTTGTTATAATAAGGAATACTTTTAAGGAAATGTCGTTTTTTTGGTGTAGCATTTTTTGGAAGCCTTGTTTTTTAATTATGACTTAGAAATACTAAAAAGATTGAAGAAATTTAAAATTTAAATTGGACCTTTGAGTGTTATTTTCAAAATTCTAAAAAGATTAAATGTAAAAGTTATTTCATGGCAAAATAAAAATGCTAATTGGTTGATGAAGCTCAATTTCAGAATATGCAATAAAGATATTAAGATAGATTATTATAATTTTTATAAATATACGATGCGGAATTTTAATTAACTATTTTAGTTGTAACGGTAGAAATTGCTTATTTAAAAATAAAAGTTTCTTATTTCTAAAGGTTTTACAAAAAAGCTCAATGAGAATGTTTTTTACAAACATATTGTTTTATCAAACTTTGAATTGTTCACTCAAAAATCTTTATCAAAACTTTAAGAAATTAAACAAAAGTTCTGCTTTGTGTAAACATCATGTAAAGTTTTGCTATAAAAATGGTAAATTTTTTCTTATCTTCTGGTATTTATTAAAATACAGAACGTCATCATTTTGTTAATCTTATATAACAACTGTAACAAAACGTGTGTAAGCTCTGCGTTTGTGTAAGTTCTGCGTTTAACACTTCCTATGGTCTTAAATTTTTGTTAGAGTTTCCATAAATAAAAACTATATTCTCTATTAACTGCTTTAATTTCATATTTTGAATCTCTATCAATTAAAAATGACCCAAAAAAATAATACTTTGTCATTATTCATACCATATTATTCATTTAAGATTTTTTTTAATTGAAAAAACGTCAATAAACATCTAAGGCAAACGTTGCTTAAATTATTAGTAAACGAGTTTCATCTGTACTATTAAGTTGTTTGAGAGAAACTAGCGTAGCCATTGAGTTGAAGCAATTGTTATTAGGCATTTGACAAATCTGTTATCTTTTTGATACTCTTACATTTGTTTGTTTAAGTTTGTACTTCTTTTCTATTATTTATTTTATAGATATTGCATGACGCATTACCAGATTAAGTGCGATCATAGATCTAGAAAAAGTGTGTTTTTCTCCTCGCTCCGTCATCAAAACAGCAGTTTCAAAATTTAAAACAATATTTAAAACAAAAATACTCGTGATATCACTTGCTTTGAATTTGACTAAATTTATCAAGGGTTCAGTTTTTAAAAATTTTACTTTTTTCTTGAAGCTTTTAAGAGTGTTGTTTCTGAAATACTTTTGAATTCGAGATTTTTTTGTACTAATCAACTAAAGATACTGAACAGTGCGACATATTTAAATTATAATATAGATGTTTTAAAATATATAACAACATGATGTTTTACAGTGTATAATAACAACATGATGTTATTTTATTGCTATCAGATTAGGCTCAAATTTCAGCTTAAGAATTTTTCGGCAAAGCTTATATCTCAGTTAGGTAGCATTTCTCCGCCCTGTTCAATGCAACAAATATATTTAGGTATTCATATAAAGGTATTTTTTGACAAATAATTTTTTTATAAAGATTTTGAAATTTGAATAAATTAAATGCGTTAGTAATCATAAAAAACTGTAGGACTCACCTTGTAAGTTTATAAAAACAAGTGCGTTGTTATTAATTCTTAAAACGAAAGAGCTTACAACTTTGTCATAATCTTATTAACCGGTATCGAAAGACAGCGAAGTAAAATAAAAAGAACAAAGTCAATTTTAACACATTTGTTTTGATATTTTGTTTAAGGTGTTAAAAATAAGCTCTTCTTTTTTTTAATTTATTATATTCTTGATATTATATGTTCAATTAAGTTATTATCGGTTTTGTTAGATTCAAAAATTTTTAACGTTAATTAGACAATAGCTATTAGACTCGATAATTACATTTATTCTGACGCGAATGAAAAACAATTAGATTTTGTAGTTTATTGATAAAGCGAAGAATCATTTCTCATCTTGTTTGAAATATAAAAACACTTTTTAAATTATCAATTCTAATGGAAATTAGAGATTTGGAGCAACCTAAAGACGACTCATTTAACGATGATGGCATTTTATATGAAAAAGAACAAAAGACAAAAACATTTTCGAGGAAACTCTCCGATACACTTCGTATGAGGTCCTATTATGCAGAGAAAATTTCTAGACGATCTTCAGCTCCTAACTCTAAGAAAAATACTGATATTAATAAAGAAAATAACGCTCAAACAAACCAAGTCGATATTGTTTCGACTAACCCAATAATAGTTGGTACTAAAAAAAGTATTACATCCTCCTTACAAAGAAAACTTACATCAAAAAATGACGATTTGTTTAAATTATTCGATGAACCCCAAAACATCTCAACCACACAACCTTCTAAAGATAAGCTGTCTAAAAAATCATTAAAAATGCTAATAGGATCAAAGACTGTTGATGAAGATAGTGTAATAGCAAGAAATGAACGTTTGCTCAGTGCACCTGGAATTATACAATCAAAACGCTTGCAGAATAGACATTCGCCTAGGGAATGTTATGAAACTATTTCAGCAGCTAGCTTTAATACCAATAAATTTGTACAGAATTCCGAAAGAAATTCGATATGTTTAGACTTTGAAACAGACGAGGATATAAAGCAAAAGGAAAACCTGGACTTAGAAATAAATAAAAGATTTTTATTTAAAAACGAAACGTCAAGAACAATTGATAAATTTAATCTACTTTTAATTGGTTCAAAGTCAGTTGGCAAGACAGGTTTGTTCCAAATATTATACAAAATCAAATATTATATTAAAATCAAAGTATTTTAACTAAAAACTTTAATAAACATCAAAAAAATCAGGCAAAAGTTATTTTCATCCAAATTAAAGCAATTATATAACTTATAATAACTAAAGTTAAAAAATTTTAAAAGGAAAACAAAAGTTTTGCTGTAAGTGTTTCCATGACGTCATTGTTTTTCCGACACGTTTTAGTTTTTCTATTATTTTTTAAAACTTATTGATACTAAGGTATTGTTTTTTTTATAGACGAACCGTAACAAATTATGTTATTATAAGTTCTATATTGCACATAGATGCCAACATGTTTTCACCTTTAAAAACTTTTTATTTCCATTTTAAGCTTATTTATTTAAGAACTCTGTTGTTTTTTTCGCGCATTAAAATGCATGTATCAGTGTTTTCATTGAAAAAAAGCTCTTTTGCTCCGTTGCATGTTTTTTTAAACTGCATTTGCGCGAATAAGTATAATTCGTTGTAAATATAAAAAAAAGTTTTTCCATTAAATTCGATGGATTTTTCATATTACAAAAATATCATAATTGAAAGAGTTTCACGCTTGACTAAAAATATATAAATAGTAAGCATGTGTGATTTCGTAGTGATGCGTATTGAAACTAAAAAAAAAATTCAGAAAAAATTTTTAAATTGCAAGTTAATTTAGTAATAATAAGCATTTAAGTATTTAAAACAAATATTAAAAAATAATTTTTTTTATCATTTTATCAACTATAGATTTAGTAATAATAATATTTAGTAATATTTCCCAAAGGAGATATTTGTATCGTTAGAGCACAAAATGTCCGCCGTTTTTAAAAATCGTGATATTGGTATCCGTAAATTTGTCGTGAAAAGCAAAGTCTTTAACTTATAACATTGTACTATCAATATACTTGGTTAAAACAAACAATTTAAGTTCAAACTATATTTCATACACATATTTGTGCACAAGTGTGCTAAGTCCAGACATGAGTTTTATGTCAATTCTTATAAAATACAAACTCACAGTTATTTACTTCGTTTATGATATAATAATCATAGTATACACTCAAGAAGTAAAAATAAAAGAGAAACTTTAAACATAAGTTCTTTAGTAATAACAGTTTTTTTATACAATAAAAATTCTTTTTGTGTTTAACGAAAATTTCAAAAAGTGGGTATAGCGCATTTTGGGCATTACGAAGTCGATATCTTCTAATCTTGGTTACTGTGATACTTCAATCAGAATAATATTTATGGGTGGTCTTTTTTTAACTATAAAATCTTTTTCTTTTTTTTTACTTGATAAAATGCCCTAAGAAGACCCAATGGTCTTATAACAGAGCACCGCGAAAAAGCATATAACTAGGAAGTTAACGCCTTCTTTCAATATTGCTTATTCGGCTAGAACTGACATTAAACCTGTTGGTTCTGACCCAAAACTCAAACCACTGCACTACGCTTGCTTTCTACTACTTATGCTATTTCTAATTTCTCTATTAATTAGTGATTTAATTGTTAGTTTTTAAAAAAAATCTATTTTATGTAATTATAATTAATAATACAAACAGTTAAATAATACTACAAACAAAAATGCAATATCATTAAATTTTTTTGACAAAAAAAGGTGAATATTTTGTTGTTGTTTTGATTAATTCGTATTTCTATTTTGTTACTTGTTGGTTACGTCAGACCAACTGACGTCAACTTTAGTTTGATTTGGTTACTCTACATTTTTGAAAACTATTTATTCGACTTTAATATTTTTATAAAAAATGTCTACTTTAAATTTATAAGTACATTATCTAGCATTAAATTTTATTTTTCAATTTTTCCAATCAATATTTATTTTATTAATTTAGAATAGCTCTTAAAATGTTCAAATAACGTACTTTTATTCTAATTGAGTTCCTAAGGCAACAGGCATTTTGAATCCGGATGTTTTGTTGTAATTGTTAGATCAACAGGAGAAGATTTTTATTTTGCAAGAAAAAGCAGGAAAAAAAAAATTTCATTAAAACATACAAAGTCATTAACTCATTGAAAAAATTTTAGTTGAATACTGTTAAATGGAAGTTTACTGTTATATCTTAGCCTGCGAGGATGCGCACAAATTTTGGTTTTTCAAACAATAATGTAAAAACTTACTATAGACCTATCATATTAACCGAAATAAATGTCTAAGAAAAAGGAAAAGTAGCCAGTTCTTTTATTTCTATAACAAAGCAGAACATAATTTGCAGTTTTTAAACAATTAATAATTCATCTCAAACATTTTGCAATATATTAAGAATTAAAAATACACGTAAATATCGGATATTTAAGAACATCTTATATTAAAAATAAACAGTAATGTATAATATAGAAAAATTGTTATTTATACCCGAAAAAAAAAGAATAAATAATTAAATGTAGGCTATGACAGATAGGTTTTAAAAACTTATAATAAAAAAAAAAAAAGTAAACCATTAAAAGCTACCTTAATGATATATAATTAATGTCGTAAGATATTTGAATAAAATGAAAGTTTGTACTTTTAGATTTAATAAAACCTTCAATAATTAAAATAAAATTAATTCTTTAAAGTATTAAATGGGTAAGAAATAGGCTATATTTCTTAAATCGTTAATAATAATTTGAACTATTTTTTTCTAGCTTTGACAGTAAGATTTCTTACGGGAAGATATATACACGAATATTTATCATTGCCAGGTAATCATTTAAATTTTTTGATTGTTTGTAAACAATAATACGAATGTACTATTAAAAAAGACAATTAATAATATAGCTTTTTCAAAATAAGTATTTCCAAATCAAGTACTTTTGGTAATTATGTATTTGATTAGAATGCTTTTGAGTATTATTTGACTTGCAAAAGTTTGCAAAAACCTTTACAAGTCAAATAAATTTTGTAATAAATGAACTCGGGGCGAAATGCTGAATGTTTTGCAATTTAAAGTTTATTTAAACCATTTTAAATTTATTTTTATTTTTTTATGTTAAACAAAAATCATTTTTGCACATCTAAATATAAATTTTCTAATCTGCGTTGCTACCATACAAACAACAATTTTGTTTAACTTAATTAAACAACCTTTAGGCGGTTTTTCCGTGTTGACCAAAAATTCATAAATGAACTAATCAGAATTGTTTTAAAGTAAATTCTTAGTATTGATATTTAAACTTTAGAACTCTATGCTTCCTGGTTCTTTCTAAAAGCTTGTGATATTCCAATTTATAATAGTGATTCCTTTAGCTTTTTGACTATTTGTAAGGAATTATTCGACTCTTTTCTTGTATGACCTTAATTCTAATTTATTTTTCCAAAGTCTCTAGAGACTTCTTCTTGAAATTGTACGTTCACAGGCCAGTTTTAAAGTTAAGACGCATTTCTTCCGGTTTAAACGGTTTTTCTTATTTTAAAACAACGAGGTTGACTGGAGATATTGAGAATTCAATAAAGCCAAACTTAGTGATTATTTGACACAATTGATAAAACTAGGTACGGCTAATGGCACCAACAAACCTTAAAGCATCTTACTTGGTTATGCTCCATTTTGATGCTTTGAAAGCACCAATTTTTAGAGGTCATTTCTTTTTAATATACAGCCAATTCTCGGTATCTCGAATACTTGATATCTTGAACAATTTTTGCGATCCCATAGGCATAACGTACTCGTTTAGGCTAAAATCCTCTCGATATCTTGAACCCTAATATCTCGAACTTTTGGTGTCTGGAACGATATTTTTGGTCCACGGGGCAATTTTTTCTCGTTATCTTGAACTTTTTAATAAATATTTTTAAGAAATATTTACGTGCTATATTTACGTGGTTTGTCGCAAAGAAGTCAACAAGTACCAATTAATGGCACCATACTGAAAAAAAGACATTAAGGTTTGCATTAGGGAAGTTGGATTTAAAGCATCTGATTGTTGATTTCATAATAAAAACAAAGGTCTGTTAAACTTTGTCAAATCTTGTTCAGTTTAAATATAAACAGTTTAAATATAAACAGATATAAACATTATTGGAATTTTTAAAACCCTACGATGTTTTAAGCACATTAAACAACTTCCTTGCACATATAAAAATCAGCTAAAAGGTCGGATAACCGGATACCTTTTTACGGAATGGGTAAAGAAGGTTGACTCATCTTTTTGTTCTCAGGACAGGATAGTAACACCTCTGTTGAATAACTGTTCTCTCCATCCACACATTAAAGGGCTAACCAATGTCAACATGATATTTCTTCCCTCTAACACAAAATATGTCCTTTAGCCTTTTGTTTAAGCCGTAATACAAAGTCTTAAAGCTCACTATTCTCACAAAATTGTGCGTTTGTGTATCAAGGCTGTCGATAATAACGAACCCTTGCCAAAAATTTCTATACTTCAAGCAATTAAACATCTTGCTTCTTCATGGAATGCTGTGTCAAAGGAGACTGTAATCAATTGCTTAAATAAAGCTTTTATCAGCAAAAAAAAAAATATTAATGCAGAAGGTGATAAGATGCTAATCCTTTTAAATCTTTGACAGAAGAACATGACCGTTTGCGAAACTTAAACCTAGTATCGTCTAAGAAGATCTCTCAGCAAAATCTTACATTGGTTTAGATTACAATGCAGTAATTACAGGTTCACATGCTACTGATGCTGAAATCGTTGCTATGATTTTAAACTCTAACTTTGAAAAGGAAAATGATGAAGTTAAAAATAGCGTTGATAAAGGTGTTGCCGTCAAAGCACCGCCAGTCTTATCTGATGTTCAATTTGACAATAATATTTCATAACAAGTTCAAGGACGGAGGAGTTACGACACTTGTTATAGTAGCTATGGTTTAAGATGTCAAAAAGAACCATTACAACATTAAGCAGGTGATCTATTACTATAAGTTTCGTATCGTTTAACTTAAAGCTTGCTAATATTTAGATTTCTCAATCTATTGACTTTACAAAGTAAATGGTAATCGGTTTAACAATATTAAAAATATTTTCTTTAGTACAATTAAAATGTCATGCTGGATACTCTATTTCAGGATTTTAATTTAGGTTTTTATCAGAACACTTGGCATGAATAGTAATAATTCAGAATAGTACAAAAAGGCTTGTGAAACTCACAGAAAAAATGAAACTTTCTGCTTCAGCCTTCAAGAATTGTGTCAAAAGTTCTTTACTAAATCTACCAGATAATAGACCAGTATCAAAAATTTTCTCTCCAGTGGAATAAAACAACTGGATATGATAATCCAAGTTTACATAGTTTTACACATTTCTAGGAAAAATGCTGACTGCTTTCTTAAGATAAAAAGGGTCTTCGAACTATAAATCTGCCGACTGAAATGTATCGAGCAAAATAATTACCGCGTATATAAGTAAAAGTATCAGACTTTTAGTATTTTTATAAAAAGGCATATATTTTTCTTGGATCCCGACAAAGTTTTTTCTAGGTGTTAATTTCTGAAAGTTGGCATCACTACGAGTCCAGTAAAATATGATACGGGGACATTTTTGTCGGTTTGAACCTACTTTCTCAGGGTAAGCTTATGGTTATGATGATTTTAGTTCTATTACAAAAAAATAATTTTTATAAAACTTATGTACAAATTTACAATGTAATTTTTATAAAACTTATGTACAAAAATTATAAAACTTATGTACAAAATAATTTTTATAAAACTTATGTACAATGTTTCAAACTAATTTTTTCTTTTAGTTTTAGTAGAAAAATTGGTTATTGCAATTTTTCTACAAACAAATGTATTAAAACAAATGTATTAAAAAATGGAACAATTGTTCTTTATTCCTTTAATAATAAATGTAAATAAAGCCACCTTTAACAAAAAAAAAAATTCCATGTTTGAACCAAACATAGAACTCTGACAAAATCTTTAATTATTACAAAATAAGTTGATCAAATATTTTGACCAATTTATTTTGTAATAATTAAAGATTTTGTCAGATGAAACCCGATAATACCGACTGAACAGGTAACGGTTAGAGAACAAACGTCCTAGTATTTTAGTTTTTTTTTAATGACAATAGTATTTTTTAAATTTAAAAATTGGGAACTTTTAAAATGCGAAAATATGAGATTAAGCGGAATTTAAGAGATTAATGCAATTATACTTTGTACAGTATTTTTTTTTTTCCCATCATGTTTTTCTACGCAACAAAAAATAACTTTGTTTTAAGCTGAAGTGTATTCAAGAAAAGTGAAATGGAATGAACAATCCGTTGGAGTAGAAATAACAGATAAAGACATAGAATCTTTGGTAACAATTTTAATTTATTTATTTTCGCTAATTTTAAAATGTTTATTCTTTGTTTCTGATTTCTTTTTAAAAATTGTCGAATAATCACTTTTTATATTGTGCCGTAACTTAACAATTTCCTTGAATATCGTCAAGCCAATTGAGTGTCCAGCGCATAGTATTGCAAAACAAAAGAATTGGAGTCAAAAATCGCAAAAATTTAGTCTTTTAAAATTAATATTTGCAACAGTTATTTTGATAAATAGATATATTTATGGTAATATATGGCTATTTATAACAGATCAGCTCGTGTCACAGGTTCTAGAACCTGTGATACCAGCTAGGTTTTTGCAAACAGCTTAAAAAAACACCTGTTTTTTTGTTGCTAATGGATGATTCCTGTTGGGTTTAAATTTTATAGGGATCTTTTTTTATGACGCGTTTTTATTTTATGTTATACTCATTAGAACAGTAGTTTTTAAATTTTTATAAAATTTAAGGCAGAAAATGTATAACAAGTTACCTTGCCCCAATCGCATTTCACCAATTTTAATAAACTTACAAACTTTATTTTTAGTTTTTATTACAAGTTTTTCTACTTTCAAATTGAAAATGCATGCAGGCAGTAAATCATTATGATAAAACAAACATACTGGCCCAGTATTATTGCTTCATTGTTGATAGTTTTGCAATATATTGTCAGCTGAGAAGCTTGAGGTTGTATGTTTACATTTAATGTTTTTCCTGTTTGTTATTGATAAATATTCCTCAAAATTGGAGCATCTGTTCACTAAATCTGTTTATAATATAAAAAAACTTTATGTAAAATAAAGATATTTATTAGGAATTTCTAGCACAAAAATTTTACGTGCTAAAATCTAAAACTCAATTTTCTTGGAAACACAAAAAATGGAAATCGATGTCCTGGTTCTTGGCTGACAATAATCTAAAAATAAATTGAAGAAGTTTAAAAACACTATATTTTTTACTAAGTTTAAAAACATACTTTTAACAAGAAAAATTGACATTATTAAGATTAAGTAACCATGGTATTTTCATAGTAAAACTAACTTTGAAGTATTAATTAAAAAATACAAACATTATGACATGATATAATAAAAGTAAATAGTAAGCTTTGTTGAAGAATGGCGCAGTTACACTGACTTTTAAAATCGTCACTAGTCAAATCGAATTTATAAAGCATTTTTGAAAACCAGTTAGAAGTAAATTTTTGATCCTGAAAAAATTGGCATGCAAAACCACAAAAAATTGGCACGCAAAACCAGAAAAAAACGTTTTTTTCATTTCGTAATAATAATAAGATCAATATCGCGTCTATTAAAAATAATGTATTATACAATATAATGTACTGAAAAACTCTGTAGAAGCATAACGCCAAAAAAAAAGACTGGCTCTAAATTTATCTATTAAAAAGACTGGCTCTAAATGGATATACATCTAGCTTTTTGGCTTCTATTTTTTTGGATAACTAAAACAAAAAAACACGTCGTGTGCTTTTTATTTTAGTTATGCAAAAGTATAGTGTGTATACATATCAACATATTAGTTATTTATAATATTTTTTTTATTCTTAAAAATAGCTAGCAAAACTACTTTAGCATTTTATATATTTGCACACAAGTTCAAAATTAATTACAAAAGATTTTTTTTTATTATGAGGATATTAACTGTTTCTTTTTATCATACCTGTTGCGTTGTATGTGTGTGTGTTTTATTTCAGTAATATTTAAATCAGCTTTCTGATTTTCTGAGTACGTTTTTTTTTTTCTGGCTCTTTGGAAGTTGCTAAAGTAAACAATAAAAAAGCTTTCAAGTAATGATAATTTTGTTTAAAAACAAATATTTTATAACTTGCAACATAAAGTGGATAGCATGATATAGAATTACAATTACCTGCTTTTTCTTAAGTCCAAATACTAAATTTTTTCCATGTAAGATTACGTCTAGCTTGTTAGCTGACCAGTAGAACCATTTCACCAGAGTGATTTCACTAAATAACCCGGTGAGAAATCGCCTAGCAAACAGCTAGCTAAAATCGTAACAGCGATATAGCCATGAGGATCGCTAGCTTTTTTAAGTTAGCAAAAAGCTATCGATATTTGTAAAGATAAAGACAGCACGAGGCTTTCTTTATCTTTACTACTTTGGCTACAAGGACAGCTAGCTTAATAAGCTAAAGTTTCACTGGCTATTGTAGCTAAAGTCATACCGTAACAAATTCGCTGTCTAAAAATTTTTGGTATGTAACTACCAACCGGCTATAGATTACAATTACTATAGATTACAGAGCTACAATATGTAGCTAGAGACACATTGTTATAATATTGCAATGTTTTAAGTTTAATTATTCTCATAATTATAATAGACTCAACACTACAAATCGAATTTTTAAAGATGTTAAAGACATTAGGAAAAAATAAAATAAGAAAAAAATATCGCTTGAAAATCGCTATAATGATAGCTTGTCGCTCGCTAATCGCTAGCTCATTTCCTACCTAGAAACCACTATGCAATGATATTGCAAAAGAAAATATTCTTTATATGCTGTGTATAAATTATGAAAGTTTTTAATTTTAGTTTGATAACATTTATGTTTTAAAGTAACACTTATTCATGTCAAATTGAATGGAATAATCCATAATAAAGTCACCTAATAGATTTTTAAATCGAGTTATAAATGATAAACATTAAAGTTAACTACTTATCCTAAGAGCTTATACTTTATCATTTTTTAAGTTAACTATTTACATTATGTTCTATGAAGTTTTACCAGAATATCTTTGTTATTAAATCTATTTTTTACATATTTTAGAATGACGAGATAGAGTTAAATCAAAGTTCTGGAATCATGATTCTTTATTCAATAGTAGATCGAGCTTCATTTTTTGCAGCAAAAGTTTTATTAAAACATTTATATGATAACTCAATAACACATTTGTATCCTGTTTTACTGATTGGAACAAAACGAGATCTATCAAGGCTGCGCACAGTTAGTTGTAAAGAAGCTTTACAAGTTGCTCATTGTTACAACTGTACATACACTGAAGTTTCTGCTGCTGATAACATAAAAGTAATTAACTCTTTCCAAAAACTATTTAGTGAAATAGAAAAAAAACAGATATTTTGTGAACACAATAATATATTAGATTCAACAAAAGAACATCCAGTCGTTGCTTTGTAGTTGCAACAGTGATGCAGTTATTGTTTTTTAATTTCAACTTCCTGTGAAATTCAATAAAACGAGACAAACTACAAGAAAAAATTACAGCTGTTAAATTACTGAGCCATTTATTTTTAAAGTACTGAGCCATTCATCTTTAAATAATTGTTAACATTTATGAAAAACAAAACAACAGATTATGAAAGTACATAAAATTGTTCAACATATATAAATGAGGATCAAAATTTAAAAACTAAAACTTATTTATTGATAATTTAGTTATTTTTAAATTATTAACATAACTTGTTTTTAAGAATCCAACATTTATTACCAGGTAATCAAAATGGAATACATTTCAGCCTATATATGATAATAGGCAAATACAATGCAATTTTTTAAACATTGTTTTGAGTTTTCTATGTCATAAATCGTCTAACTTAAATAATTTAGGTAATTGTGTATATTTATTTTTTTTAGTGCCCATTACCTCATAATTTCAAATTGATTAATTAAATTTTTTTATTTTTCTGGTTAGTTAGGTTTTAGTTGAGATTAAGTGCTTGTTCTGAATCGAATGTTAATGTAAAAAGTTTGCTGACTCGTGGTGAGATTTATACAGGAAAAAGTTAAACGCCAATGTGTTTGACTCGAGATTTTAGGTTAGGTTTCATTTAAAGATTTAAAAAAAAAAGAAATAATAAATTTAAAAAAATGTAATAGTAATAAAAAAATTTTAATTTCAAAAAAAATTAAAAATAAATAAAGTTAACCCGATATAATTCAATGAATAAAAACTAGTTTAAAAAAAATCTAATGAATGTTAAAATTCGGAACCGAATTTTTAATTGAATAAAAACTTCTATTATGTATATAACTCTTTATTTTTTTTAATTAATTTTTATCCATTATTTCAAGGGTGTGGTTCTTATAATATTTTCCAGGCTTGTTTTTTTATAACTATTTTCTACAAAAACATTAATTAGAAATAATATCTCTTGTTCAATATGATTATCAGAGCATAATTATAAATGCACTATGGACTAATCATTTGAAAACTCCGTTTAACAATTTTCGGATCATGGCATGAGTTAGGTTTGATTAGGACGTTAGTTATTTTGAATCGAATATTAAGTTCGATTTGAATTATTTTTAAATTTAAAACCACAGTAAATTAAAAAACAATGTTTAAAATGAAACACAAAAAGTTATGAAGCTGTTTTTTCATAAAAATTTTAGTTTTTATTTTATGACTAAAAAACTATACAAAAGAATTTTTTAAAAATGCTGATGGATCTAATTTCAACTGTAATGCGTTTGACTTGTCATTTTAGATTTAGATTGAATTTAGATTTTTAATTAAACAATGTTTAATTAAAAAAAAATTATTTGGAGTTTTCAACTTGTGTGAATATTGTAATCATCAAAAAGTGTATATTTAAAATGTTATTAAATATTATAAAATATATATAAAAATATATTTAAAATGGTAATCCTTTTGATTTTGGCTTAAACATAAAAGTATTTATTTAATATTTGTCTACAATTTTGTTTTATGTTGAGCGTAGTTTTCGGATAATTGACTGTTGACAAGGGGAGGCGGGAAATCTAGATAACAATTTTACTTTTTTTTAAAAATTTAATACTTAAAAAAGTGGGAAAAAGAACTTTTTTTCTGCTTTAAATTTATTTAAAAGAGGAGAGGGGGAGGGAATGGAAAGGGATTCAAATGTTAACGTAATATGATAGAGGAGGTCCTGGATGTTTGAAAAGTTGTTGACAAGGCGGAGGGAGGGGAAAAAGAGGAAAAAATTGTCAAAAAAATTGACATAACAATTTATTAAATTATCAAAAACACCATTTTGTAGAAAATGTATTATACTACAAATAGATATGTTTGAGGTTATAAACTACTTTAATAAATCTCCAATTAATTTTAAAAATTCGGACATAAAAATTAAAAATTTTGATAATAAAACCGCCTCATTACTTTGCCAATTCCACCGTTGCCGTCGTTATAGAAATTCTTAAGTTACTTGGAAACGACTCGCTTTGAGTTAACAACGCCTATTCTCGAAAATTAGGTAAAAAGCGTATGTAAACGTATGAAAATCAATAAAAAAATTATATGCTAAGGCAGTTTGCATAGAACAAAAGTCGGATATAATTAGAGAAATAATTAATAATTACGAGGTTGTTGCCTCTGACTGATCACGCAAAATATGAGTGATCATTTACTAGTATTGAAAGAAAATGGAAATAACAGACAATCTTCTCAAGAAAACATTTATAAGATATCAGAAATTACACCATTCTATCATGAATTCATGATTCGTATGAAATATGTATCATAATTCATGATACATATGAAATATGTAATTCTTGTTATTGTACATATAGCGAGAGTGACTACGCACCCCGCTATATATACAATAAAAAGAAACCTACTGGCTGCTGCGTTTGCGGACTAACGCAACACAAACGTCTAATCCACTATCACAAACTTTAGCAGTCTTCGCAGCACCTCCATTATCTTTCTATGACACAGCTTCATCATCTACAACAGCCGCCGCAGCACTTACTCAAGTTACACACCGTCAGATATCAATCGCATGTTAATAAATTGAAGCAGTGCAACATGTCAAAACTTAGCGAAAAATGTTTTACCAAAGAAAATATGATCGAAAATATGATCAAACAAAAAGATGAAGAAAAAGCAACTAAGGAAGCCGTGAAAGTTGCTAAACTTAACACAAAGCGTAGACTCTCTATGCCAAGTATTCAAATGTCTGAGCATAACAATGCTGAACAACCACAGCAAAACAATGATGAAGAACAAGTAGCAACAGCCAAACCATTAAAAGTTACAAAATATAAAAAATACAATTTCATACAGAAATGTTTCAACGTGAGAATTTGATACGCTGGTAAGGGTTGTGTAAAGAAACAAGTTTACCAAAAAAATATGTAGTTGGAACTGAATTATTTAGTAAAAAAATTGTAAAATATCAATATAGTTTCTTAAATATAAGTTGTGCTAAAAAAAGTAATAAAGAAAAGTTAAAACTTAAAGAAATTCTATGTTTCCACAAGCGTGCGGTTTAATCGAATGTAAATATCTTCAATAATTTTTTTTTTTATGTTGATTTTAGGTGCCCCAAGAAATCCTTATGGTCTTATCACAGAGCACCGCGGAAGAGCATTTAATAGGAAGTTCACGCCTCCTTCCCAACCGATGTCCCAGAGGTGGGGTTTGAACCACGGATCTGACGTTTCTGAGGCAAGTGCGCTACCACTGCGCCACGGCTGCTATTTTATTACTTTAAAATTTATATATATTTATGTAATTTTTTATTACCTATCTAATTAAAAAAAATATTATTATAAAAAAAAGAAATTTAATTTTTAATGATTAGTGTGCGGTTTGACCCGGTTTTATTCTAATCTACAGAAAAAATACTTGAAATCCGAAAAGTTAAAAAAAGAACAGTTCCAAATATTTTTTGAATACTTTCAGAAATATAAAGAACGACACAAACGTAAGCAATAAAAAAAATATTTAAGAATCAATCACAAAAGAATTTGCTAACAGTTTTTGAAACCTCTACAAATTTTAAATTTCCACCATATTCAAAATTCTGCGAAGTAATTATTTCAGATGAAAATATAAAAATGGATATTTCTCGCTTAAACTTAAACAAGTCCAAAGACGCCTTCGGAATTCTTTAACTTTTTCAATAATTAGACAGACGCCAAAATCAATGTCTACATCACTTATTATACCACTAAATCGTATAAAAGGTCATTAGTTGAAACAATTTGCGTGGGATTAGCATCATTCCAATCTGTACGAAAATAATTAAATACCTTATTTTAATAGTTTGTTCAGAAACAAAAGAAGCTCATTCTCTTCAGTTTAACTTTACTAAAAAAAGCTCAATATTTCATGCATAAATTTGTTATTAGTGAAACAATCAAATACTACAACAACAACAACTCGCCTGTCTATCTCTGTTCCTTAGATGCTTTAGATGCTGAAAAAGCGTTTAATAGCTGCAACTGAGACATTCCATTTGAGAAACTCTGTAATAATAAAAAACTACCGTTCTATATTGCTAATATCATACTATCATTATACTATGAAAGCAGTGCCTCTCTCTCTAACCTGGGTTGCAAATCATATCAACCTGTATAATAAATGCATACACAACTTACTAAAAACCTTACAAAATGAAAATATTGTCGGTTCATCAGTAAATGGAAATTATACGGGTGATGTAGCATATGTTAATGTTATTATACTTCTTTTCTCCACCCTCTCTGGCCTCAAAAAACTTAATACAAGGGGTCGTCCGTAAAGTACATACTCTCATAGGGGGTAGAGGGAGGTTCTCGAAAAGCGTACGAAAGCGTACGGATAGGGGGGGGGGGGTGAGTGTTGAATTTAAAAGTACGTACTTCGATATTCTAATTTATCCCAATTAACCAGCTAATCAACAGAAAAGTTAAAATTATGACTAAAGGTCCTAGTTTGCCAACATAAAAAGATGTTTGGTATAGGGAGTAGAGGGTATAGTTTCCCTCAATGCACACACATGCATGGGGACCCGCAGGACTTTTTGATGTTCCAGATTGGACACTTTCACTCATTGTGCAAACTCTAAAATTAACTATTTTTATTTCTATGCCAAATGAGGAGGCCTTGCAAAAAATTAAGAAGGCGGAGGCCTGGGAGCAAAAAAGCCGTAAAAAGCCCCCTCCAAAAAAAATAATAATAATAAATAAATGAGGGGGTGTAACTTTTGTATGGTCATAACTTTTGTAATTTACAATATTTTTGTACAAAATTTAAAAACTGTTGATAAATGTAAAATTAGTTTTAGATGGTAAAGTTGAAATTTTACTACATTAGTGCCCTCATTTGTTATTGCATCTTTGCGGTAGATATTAAAAAGATATGTTCTGGATTTGTTATTTGTTATTGAGAGATCAAGACAATTTATTGTGTGTGAGTCACTTTCTTTTTCAATTGTATATTTGATACTTGTGTGTTGATTGTTTAACAAGTCAAGAAAACGTTCTGATTCTGCCTCATTATTAAAACGGGAATGGATATCGCCAACATACCTTTTGAATGATTTTACACATATTGGTGGTGTAAGATATTGTGCCTGTATTAAAGCTTTTTCTTCATAATGTTGCAAAAAACTCTCTGCCATTACTATCATTAATGATAAACCTATAGAACCGGCATCTTCTAATGTGTGTATATTGTTTTCATGTAAAAAACAACAATTTGATAAACACAAATCTAAAAGTATTTTTTTTTTCTGAAAACGATAATTTTGAATTAAAGACAGGACTATTACGGAGTTGTTCTAATAAAATATCGATTGATTCTTTAACTGGAATTGAAGGGTAAAGATTAACAATATCGAAGGAAACTTAAAATTCACCAGGATTGATTTACCATGTTTGAGCACATTCAACAAATTGTTTTGAATTTCGAAGTTTTGTTTTGTTGAGATTGGATGTAGGTTGAATGAGATTAACTAAATAATTGGATAATTTATATGTAAGTGACCCTATTGTGCTTACTATAATTCGCATTGGGTAGTTATTAGTTGGTTTGTGTGCTTTGATGACACCATATAATCGTGGAAGAGTGGCATCACTTGGATAAATTGATCTATAATCATTTTTTGTAAACTTAGTTTTTAGATTTCGTAAAGTATTCTGAACTTTGCGAAGGAGTTTTTGAGTTGGATCATAGTTTATGATTTTAGATTTTCCGAGTTGTTCTTTAATTTTTTTAAGAGCATCAATTTTATTAATTCGAACAAAGCCTGATCATTAATCAAACGGATAAATATTAATTGTGTTGTTAGACTTAAGTTCTTTGAGAGCTTTAATCTGATTTTTATCTAAATTTGTAGAAACCGGTTTATGCATTTTCAAAACTCGAAGCACATCTTGTCTAAGTTTATTTGCATCAGTGTTTTTATTTGAATACTTTAACTTTAAAGCTGCCGTTTCAGTTATACTTATTGTATCCATATATGGAACTTTATTCGGAATAGGAACAAAGTTAGGTCCTAAATCAAGTAATTTTTTGTGATGTGTTGGGATATTATCAGTACATAAATTAAGTGTTACCTCTTTCATAAACTTGTACTTTCTTTGGTTATTGTTATCTTTATACCGACTTTCCTTTATTAATAAATCAAATTTGTTTTTTAGCTTACTTCTCGATCGCAAAAACATAAACTTGTAGGATTTATCTATACCTATGAGGCACAATGACGTTGAAACAACGTCGCAAACCGATCATATGCCACGTTGAAACAACGTTGAAATTTGTTGGAATTGGAAACAAAATCCGACGTTGAAAACTACGACGTTGAAACAACGTCGATGATTACGTTGTTTCAACGTTGTTCTAACGTCTTATCGACTACATTTCAACCATATTTCAACTTTGAATAGGTTAGATACGTAGTCGATAAGACGTTAGAACAACGTTGAAACAACGTAAATTCAAAGTTGATTTTTGTTTTTTATTTTGGTCAAATCCAATAAACTAAAAAATTATCTCAACTTTAATTGGTCGTTAATCAGGTCGTTGAGTAAATTATTGATTAATAAGCAAAAAAAATTAAATGTCAAATAGAGCATGCTGGGTTCAGATGAATATAATGGCTGGGTATGTATAATATTTTTATTTTATTAATTTTAAACTAAATTTTGTAGTAAAAATAAAAATTAACAAAATAGCAACAACAATAGTTTTGAAAAAATATATAATAATGAATAAATGAATAATTAAAATTGTTGAAAATAAAAATATTTGTAATTTTTTTAAATATAAAGTTTTAATCTTTTTTGATAAGTATTACATAACTTTGGTCGTCGATATAAAATTCCATACTCTAAATATTTAATAAATTTTCAAGACAGTTTATATGATTCTTTCCTATCAGATCTATCTGTCGAATTTCAGAATTATTCCTTCTTACGACTTTGATAACACCTTGTAAAAAATTTTTACTTTTGTTCTGTTCCTAGTTTTCCTAACCTGTTAGGTCTAGAAAATAAAAATCTTGTTATTTCAGGAAAGACTTTGCTTCTGTTGCCGGGGCAATGAAGTTTGGAAAATCGCGTGTTTTGCCTTGGGCACCGCATTTCAGATGTGCTTTGTTTCAGGTTGGTACATAGGAGACAAGCAAGACATGAAGTTTGTTATCTTGCAAATTTGGCGAGATCCACTCAAGCAACTGCTACTTCTACGGTCCACTGCTACATCTGCATGGTAAATCCAAAAAATTGTTGCATCAGTAAAAATGCTCCTCAGATCGTTTATCTAGACATTCATTCTTCCATTGCCCGATTACCACACAGCTCTGACCTGCCTGTTCTGACTCCTCCTAGGCGGCATCGGTCTTTTTCAGGAGACAGCAGCAAGTCATATAGCGAGGTAGATACTGGAAATATGGACTACAAAACCGCAAATGAAGTTGGGGATAGAGAGCCGTACTTTCTAATCAGAAAGGAGTGAACAATTTAATTAGGGACCTCGAGTTTACGAAATCAAAAGCTAAGCTTCTGATATCCAGGCTTAAACTCGAATTGATAGCGAATGATGATAGCGTAGAGAACTCGAATGATGATAGCGTACAAGTCACGGATCAGAGGAAGCGGCATCAAAGGCTCTTCAACTTCTTCAGTCAGCGTGATGGACTGTTTTTCTGCAAAGATGTTGCCAGTCTATTCCAGGCTGTAGGTATAGCATTCAATTGTATTAAATGGCGCATATTCATAGACATTTCATCCTGGAGCCTTAAAGTCGTGTTGCTTTATAACTGAAACAGTTACCCGTCTATCCGGATAGCCCACTCTTTGCATCTTAAAGAGGACTACACAAGTGACTAAACAAGCCATTGGTGACTTTTAAATGGTATCATTCCTCATAGGTCTATAAGGAGTTTTAGAAAAATTTCTTTGTTTTTTCTGTTTATGGGACACCCGTAACACCAAGACACATTATCGTACAAAGGACTGACCACAACTGACCAAGTTTTCTGTTGGGAAGAGCAATGTGAAGTGGTGCCGCTGAGGAAACCTCACAAAGTGCTTGTGCCACAACTGTACAAGTTAGACCGCATTAAGGAATTTGTCACTGCTCTTGACAAGGAGTCAGTAGCAATTTAATACCTCCAAGATCTTTTTCCAAAGCTGTCTGAGGCTAAGGTTAGGGTTGGTATATTTGTTGAACCAAATGTTAAGAAAATCATAAAATGTGAGGATTTTCCAAAGCTGTTGAACTGAAGCGAGAGAGCGGCTTAAAGCAGTGTTGTTGCAGTTATTTAAGGCTTCCTAGGTTATGTCAAGTTGGTGCAGACTCTTATTAGGAATTACGCTAAAATGGAACGCAGAATGTCTTGGAAATCCCATATCCTTGATTCACATCTCAACAAACTCAAGGAGAACATGGGCGCTTACTGCAAGAAACAAGGCGAGCGCTTTCATCAAGATTTACTGGACTTTAAACGTCGTTATCAAGAACAATATAACAAACATGAGGAGTTTTCTAAAAACATTTCTGAAACTCGTTGATTGGTTTCCAACTGTGTTTTTCTATTCCTTGTGCAATTTTTGTTTTTATCTGATTATAATGAGAAAAATAAAAAAATAAATTGTTCTATTTTCACCAAAAAACGAGTTTTCTTTGTACTATTGTCATGTAAGCAAAGATTGTGCTTACACGACAACAGCACGAAGTATGTGAAAAAATGACTTCAATAATGAAGTCATTTTTTCAAATACTTTAGACATAAGCAAATTAAATATAACACTTAAAAGCTGAGGAAAAAGTTTTGTTACATAGATATATATAAGTAGAAAATGCTTTTTTATAATCAGTCAAAAAAAAGTATTATAATAATAAAAAATAGGGCGTTGTATTATTAAAAACAATACAAAATAAGTACACTTCCAAAAAAAATAGCGCGTTTTTACGGAAAAGTTCCGGCAGCTGCCGATGACCATTCTACCCGTTATTTTACGGAAAAACTCATCCATGTAAACTGAAGTTTCCGTTAACAAACGGATTTTTTCCGCTAAAATACAATGGAAACAAAAACTATGATACAAGTAGAGGTTTTAAGGTGCAATGTAACCAATCTCAGTTTGTGATTGTAATGGTGATAACCGAATTTCCTGTATATGCCATTGCTTGCGCCATATAGCTCTTCTTCGGTTCTCTACAATAAGACCGTAAGGACTCTAAAAGCACTTTAATAACTGCATAAAAAAATAATAATAATAAAATATAAAAATTATACCTAGTTAAATGTTCTGTTATGTATTTCATTATTTTATTTTTATTATTTTTTATTTGCTTACTTGATGAGTTTGATTGTCATAAATACTTTTATAAAGGGTTGCTACAGTTTGGCTTTAAATTATCAAAGATTAAATTGTGACGCTCAAAAATGTTGTCTATACAATCACATTGTAAATGTAATTGCATAGATAACATTATGATTGTAAAAACTTTGATAAATACCTAGAATGTAAGAAGTTCTCTCCTACTGCTCATACTTTTCTCTCATACTGTTTTGCTCCATTAATATTTAAATGATATGATGTTAAAAATAAAGAGCGAATATAATTTACTTTATTATTTTTTTACAATTAATTTTGAAAAAAATAAGTTATTACCATATATAGACTGAATTGACTTTTAGTCGACTTAAAAAAGTTTTATTTTCTTAAGTCGACTACAAGTCAATTTAGTCTATATATCGAAATATATTTTAGTCAACATCCAAATTATTTAATAGTCATAAAAACATTAGAAATAAACCGTTTAAAACTCTTTGCTACCTAAGATTTAACTGTAACAATAAATTTACTGTTTAGCCTTAGGTTGCACAGAGTTAATAAACTTAATTGTTTCTCCATAATATGTTTAACTAAGTAATTTACTTATTTATACTAATATTATAATATCTATAACGTGTTAAAATAAGCTATTTACAAACTTAATAAAAAAGACGTTGATTTAAGGTAGCATTGTATATAACCAAAAAAATACTTCAAAATCAATATCTGTTTTATATTAATTAGAATGTTCTGATTTCAAATTTGACGTCTGTATATCTTCACCGCGAATCATTTTTTTGAAAAATCGTAATTTGTTTTTGGGATTTTACGATACTTAACAGTTTTTTCCTACTAAATTACACTTCACAGTATTCAATAAACAATAATAAAAAATCAAACAGTTCTTTCAAGCATTTTCTATGAGCAGAAATGTTAGTATACAATTTCCGCATGTACATATCGCGTTAGGAATTTATAGTTTAGAATGATTATAATTAAGAATGATTTTCAAGCCATTGATTAAAATTCATCCATGGTCTGTCATTGACTAGGAGCTGTCTATAATCTTGGGCTCACTAAATGTAGGAAATTTCTGAACTAGGCATCTGAAGCTGCATTTTACTTTTGAAGAGATTTCACCAGTTGCTTGATACAAGCGAGTTTAATGTGCAAAGGTTGCAATATTACATTTTTTCTTTCACAAACCATAGGATTGCTTATAACTTGGGTACCAGGAATATCCATGTTGTGCAATAGCCAATTTTCCTCATATAGTGCTCAACACTAGAAAGTTCTAGATGTAAAAAAACAACAGTAGTTTGTGCATCTTGACTGTATTTCCGTCAAAATGGCGACGATCTTGAAATCAGCACAAATACTCATAGAGAACAAGCAACAGAATACTGGACAGATAAGAAACAGGGAGAGATTGATGTACATTACCATTGTCTTAAAGAACACCTTTTAAATCATTCAAGAACTACCATTCTTGTGTGTTATATTTCAAACCAAGTTCGTTTAACAGGGCAGAAATGCTATAAGATTAACACAAGTCTCTACTCACAGAAAACAAAGATAATAGGTCGGCAGTTTGCTTTTAAAAAAGTGTAACTGTTTGCCAACAGCGCAACCAAAGTACATTTTGTAGAGCTTTTTAAGTATTAAAAACGTTGTGGGTAATGGACATAAACTGACTTTAGATTTAAAATCATCACAGTTGCATTAGTAGGAAAAAGATTTTTGTGAAAAAGATTTTTTTTTGTCAGATATAATTAACAAACATGTGTTTTATAGGTTCTTTAAACAGTACATTCAAAATGAGTTTGCGTTTATGCAACTTTTCTTGTTTCTAACTTTTTACCCTTAAGTTTTCATTTAAG